CGATATGGTTCATGGGGTCACGAAGAGTCGGACACGACTTAACGACTGAACAACAACAACTGCATTTGTCATTTCATTTATTTATTTATCCAATTTATATGGCCACCCATCTCAACAAGTGTCTCTGGGCAGAGAACAGAATTAAAATAAAATAAAAACAATTACATCCATTACAAAAATTAAAATACAAAGCAGCTGAGAAACATCACACCCAAATCACTAATACAGCCAAAAGTGAACCATTTTCAGTCACTCCTTTCTTCTTTTCTTGAGATGTCTTAAGAGACTTCATTACCCAATAACTAATCAGTATTAGTTTTTCCTCCCTATAGGACCTAATAAGTTGAACAACACAACTTGTAGGGCTATGTCTGCCTTGTATCTTCCCATATCTTTCTTTGTTGCACATTGTTTTAAGTTGGGAGTAGCCCAAGAGAGAGATGGAAGGAGGAGCTGAGAAACCAGCTAGAGTTGCCAGAGAGAATCCATCCTGAAGTCAGACCTACCTCATTCATGCTATAGCACCCCAACTGGTGGATGCTTTCCCTGCTGGCTGGGCCACGTTAGAAGGGGATGGCAGCAAAGCCAAAGGAGACAATTACTTTGCCTATAACAACTGACACATTCACATATCAAGACAACCCTATTCAAGAATGACTTAGTCTTTTTATGTTTTATGCTTTTATGTTTTAGGTTTGTATATATACATATAGTTTGTTTTTTTAACTAAATTAACATGGATATTTATATTTTTAACTGTTCTTGAGGTTAGATTTTAATTGTGAGCCGCCCAAAGTCACCCTCTGGGGGAGATGGGCAGCATATAAATTTAATTAATTAATTAATTAATTAATAAAGATTGGCAACGGGGACAGCAAGATTTATGCTGGCAGTTTTTATGCCAGCTCAAGGATGGCTAGATAGCATTTCAACTCAGTATTGGGGAAAGACCCTCAGTCAAATATTATTGGGTCCTTTGGGAATGTTACTGAAGTGATCTCAGCCAATGGCTGGAATAATCATAAGTTTATGTATCTTACTTTTGTGTTTTTTAAAAAAATATTTTAATCAATTTATATGGCTGCCCATCTCAAATATATTACTCTGGGCGGCTAACAATATTAAAAAGTAAATAAAAATAAATACATATACACAAAAATTAAGACACAGAGCAGCTAGGAAAAAAATCACGAAACAACCAATCTTGATAATTCCTGCATTAGTTTCTATGAAATTTGATATGCTTCATCTCTTCATTGTGTTGCAGTTTTCCTGTGCATTTCATTTCATTCCCATTCTGATAAAACAGAAACAAAAACCAATATGGCATGGGGCCTCTCCCCTATAACTTCAACCCGTCCCACCTGGTCACACAGAAAAGGCAGGCTCCGGACCCCCTCAGTAAAAGAACTCCATCTAGCGGGGTCCAGAAGGCGGGCCTCCTCTGCAGTGGCCCCCGCCCTTTGGAACATCCTGCCCCCGGAGGTGCGATTGGCCCCCTCACTCCTGGCCTTCCGAAGGACCTTGAAGACCTGGTTCTGCCACTTGGCCTGGGGTAGGGAGGGAATATCTCAAGCAGGGAGATGGCTAGCCCCATAGTGGCCAGCTGTCCCCGGGCCGATTTTCCATCTTCTTGGATTTTCCTTTTGTAGTATTGTTTTAATTCTATATATATTTATAGTTTTAATGTCTTTATAAGCCTCCCAGAGTCCCCTACTGTGGGGGAGATGGGCGGGGGAGAAATCCAATAAATAAATAAATAAATAAGTGCCATTAGTCATTTATGTTTCTGCCATATTGGATAAGAGGGCAGAACTTTGGTTTTCCGATACAGCAAAATTGGGAACAAATCAGGGCAGAGCACTCCCTGGACTGACAAGATGGACTGGGCTGCTCCTGATGTCAAAATGGCTTGGATAGACTTCATCGAGCCCTAGAAAGAACATAGCTGGGGGCTTCTGAATTGAGGGCAGTCTGTGCAAGAAGTATTTCCTCTGGCAGTGAGTCTGATACCTGGAAGATTGTTCTGGTGAGCAAAAAAGGATTTATAGACACTGCATAAGAAGTGGGGTGGATTGTGTACTGCCTTTATACTAGGCAACATTATTCAAGGGCTATTGTGGCTGTGCACAATGGAGGGAAATACACAGGGTGCTGACTTCATCATTCTATCTTATAAAGAAGTCTATGCCAGACACTGCTTAGGAAGGGGAATCACTTAGGAACATTTACATTTACACAAAATCTTATCCAAATACTATAGAACCAGTAGAAAAGTGTATGTAGCTCAGGTTTGAACTATGGAGTCCTTGGGACAGAGAAGATAGGTGGTTTGAGAGAGGAGTGAAGGAATCCGTTTATGCCAGAGTGGAAAATCCTTCCCTCAGTAATGGTGGAGGCCTCAGACACAACTTGTCTCCCGTTTTTCATGCTGCTCTTTCACCAGTCCCCTGGAAGATTAAGACCACTCCACAAGTTCACCAGGGAGACAGCACTTAATGACCCACTTGGGGATGAGTGGGCATGTATACATTACATATACTTCAGAAGTTTCATCCAACTCAGTATGATTCCTTTGAGTCCATCCAAGATTCAGAGCTTCTTAAGCATCCAGGAATATCTTGGACATATCTTACATAAATACAATCTGCCCCAGCAGACTTTCTTAGTTCCCAAGAGAGTTTCCTTATACATCTATTGATGTTTGCTCTGGACCCTCAGAGCATAAACTGCAAGCAATTTGAGATGCCACAAAACCTGTTGTTTTTAAAACATGCAGGGAAACCATCTAAAACCCAAAGAGCATTGAGAAGGAGCAGAGCAGTCCCAATAAAGTGTGTAAACAAGACAAAGCTATGTGAACAGAATTGTACATTATGGAGAACACCCTTGATGTGGTCTAGTAGTTGAAGTATTCAATTCACATTCCTTGTAGATGACACAAGAGTGTTGTGATCTCTTTTAAATGACTGGACTGGCTTTTCTCTGTCCAGCTGTTTGATTGTTTGCTGCCGAAAAGCCTGACACTTTCCAAAATGTATAATATGTAAATGCGGAGAGCACCTAAGATAGATATGGTAGATTTCATATATAAGATCAAATATCTTGCTAAGAATGCTTTTGCTTTTCAATGTTTCAGTGAAATGGAACTTGGAAGAGATTTGTTTTTACACTGGAAATTTTTGAAAAACATTTCAAAAGTAAAAGATGATCTAATTTAACTTATTAATTGCTCTTTTTGTTTCTATTTGCATTTTGATAGATAGCTGCAGGGATCTCAGCCTTGCTTTTTAATTAAGGCTGACCACTAATTAACTTAGACTCTATCTTTAAGCTTCTTTGAAAAGTGAATATTTTTTTCCTACAGTTGTAATTTGCATTACTGTGCAGTTCATACTGCTATTAAAGTCATAAGATAAAGATGCATTTTAACCAGTGTAGCTGAAAAGTTTCATTCTTTTGTGAACATGGGAAATAAGTTAAACTGTGGCCTCCAGATTAACTGAAAGGGTCTGAAATTTGAAATAGTGAAATTATGATTCAAATGAATTCATCTTCACTATATCTTGATACTTTTTTTTTTTACTGTTATTAGATTATTTGCTGCTGTTATTATGACCTGAAACTGAATATCCATCTTCTGCAGACCAACCAAAAATCTAATCCAACTGCAGAAAAGCACAGGGTGTAGCATTTGGTAGGATGATAATTTGTAATGAGCTATATTTAACATCTATTGCAACATTAGTTATATTCAAATTGTCTCCCCTGCCAAAGCAATGGGAAAAGGCTGATTTTCTCTTCTCCTCCACACCCGTTGCAAGTCCTTGTCCACCCTCCAAATCTGCTCTGAAGGATTGGCTTTTGATATATGTTTTTAATGCTTCATGTTTTCAGGCCCTAAAAGGAGGGGGTATCTTCAAGATTACGCATATGCTGAGAAAACCAGCTAGTCACATTTTAGCAGAGGAGTTGTGATGTGTATAATGCTACAAAGAACTGGCTGATTTCTGTTCTTTTTCCCCCTCCAGGTAATGTTCATTCACACATCTGAGAAATCATGAAATTGGTGTCACTTGCAGCCATTTTCTGGTGTTTCTTAATAACATCATCTGAAGCCAAGAAGGTGAGGGAGGAATACAGAGAGAAAATCTGTTCATGTTTATATTTAATGTTTGTTTTTGGATTAATGTGATAGTCACACCTACCTATTTCAGCATAGCATTAAATGAAACCAGGCCAATATTGCTAGGTTCAAGCATTTCACTAAATCATGGTTTATTTTTATTATAATTTGTTGATGCTACTGTTGTGCAATTCAGCTATAACATACATACATAAATACCCATTATGCTATTCCTTTTTTTTTTTTTTTGGTCAACAGTGTTATACAGAATAGAAAAAAAGTAAGAAATAGTAAACCAAAGAAATCAAAGGCATAAGGGAAAAGATGGAAAAAGAGAAGACATAGCTAAAATTAGCTTATACTTCTTCATACATTCCTATTCTTGCATACCATCCCTTCTTCCACCCTGTCCATATACTGTACCACTTCATGCACCCCTTTTAGTTCCTTAAACTTCTCACCTCTTTCTTTTTGAGGATCTCATCAAATCCATCCACCACCATTTCCTGATCTTCCCCTTCCTTTCAATCTATTCAATCACCCTTCATATATTGGTTTTGTAATCTGATCATCATTCATTCTCTATACATGATCAAACCACCTCAGCATACTTAAATTGATTTCACACTGGTCACTCTCTTTTGTATTCAGTCCGCATTCATTCAGCAGCCATTCACTTTTTATCCTATTTCTTCTTGTTTTACCTCGCACGTTTCTTCAGTATTCCACTCCCATTGCATTTACCTTACTATTATGTTTCTCTTTACATACCCAATTCTCACTTCCATATAACAAAGTGGGGACAAGCACATTGTTTTATACAGCCATTTTTGCTTGCAACAGACCTCATAGCATCCACTATCTTTGACCAGCATTAACATTTCTGTCCATTTTCTCATATTCAGTAAATGTTCTACAGAGGTACCCAAATTCATCTACTTGCTCTAATTTTTTGCTATCTACATAGCAAAACTTGCAATCTTTCATTCTATTTTCCTTGATAAACACTATTATCTCAGCCCTTCATATGTATATAGTTTTAGATCAATGCTCCTTATTGTATCACATAATCTAACAGCCAACAACATGGTATTATCTGAACACAAAAGTACATGTACATTCATGGCCCCAGTCATCACACCTCTAATGTCACCACAAACTTTCCTTATCCATAAATACATTAATCAACCAAGGGGATATCATACACATATCCTTATCTTATTCCCTGTTCAGTGTTTAACCATGTACTAAGCATTCTATGTATTCTCACGCATGTTTTAATCCCATTATGTACCAGTCTTATTGCACTCAGCAACTAATATTCAGCTTTATATGTTATTGAGGTCAAACGTGAAGCTGCAAGAGCCAAGATGCAGTTCAGGAAGATCTGAAGGATCACAGGTTCTCCAGCATGATATGAAGCGACTGGGGAGAGCACTGTTAGGTCTTTACTTTGCAGTGGGGCAAAACAATTGGTCACACATTGTTTATTCTATTTGTATCCTATTTCTCTTCTGTAGACATTTGAGGACATCCGCTGCAAGTGTGTGTGCCCGCCATATCGGAATATAAGTGGACAAATTTACAAGAAAAATGTATTGCAGAAAGATTGGTGAGACAAATTTCAAATGTGATTCTCAAAGCTCATAGAAAGAATGCAAGATGCGATTGTTCTAAAACACATCATCAGTATAGGAAGACAGTTCAGCAAAATGAACTGAAGTCTCATACTTTCTGTCTGTTCAAATTGGATACTTTCATCATGTACATTTTAGTTATTTGTATACTGATCAAGGGAATTAACTTAGTGATACAATAATGATCTCAAAATTAGGATCTCTCCAACTGCTATCATATTCATGTTTGATATCCTATCCTATCCTATCCTATCCTATCCTATCCTATCCTATTATTTTATTTTATTTTATTTTATTTTATTTTATTTTATTTTATTTTATTTTATTTTATTTTTATTTAACTCAGATTGTGAACTAGAGAAATGTTCTAGAAATGGCCAATTTTTTTACATCTGTAGTTACTTTCTGTTGTCTCCCTAATGATATTTGCAAACTTTTGATGGACAAAGTAGTGTTTTAGGCAGAAATCAACAGCTGAACTACAGTGTCCAGTGTCTCTCTTTATTAACCATGTTGGCTGCTGGAAGATGAAATTCTGCAATTCTGGGAATGCTTTGGTGTTGTTATATAAGAAGTATAAGCCATATTTTAAAAAATAGTTATAGAAATATGTTCATAGGAAAAGTGACTCAGTAAAATGTGATATTGGTCTAAAATTAAACAATCCAAATAAGCCAAGGAATACATGAAACCTTTTTTAATGGGTACAGACTCTTTCTCTCCCTTTATTCAAAATATGCAGCAATTAAACCTAGCAGTTTCCAATTAACTCTATTTTCTGTTTCATTTAAACTGGAAAACTAGTTATAACTTGGAGCAAATTAGGCTCTTAAATCAACTTCAGACCATGGAATAAGACCCTAGTTTGATCTGAATCTGGTGATCAGAATTTCCCAGATTTGATCAAATTCAAATATATTTAATTGGGGAATCTTCATGCTGTAATGAATGGAGAAAGGGTTCATGCATATATTGGCTTATTAAGCCAATATCTGATCATCTAAAAACAGTCAATTTTTTTTAAACCATTCAGTTGTGTCTGAATCTTGGAGGCTGCATGTTTTCTTGGCAAGGGTTTTCAGAAGCAATCTGCCATTGCCTCCTTCCCAAGGCTGAGAGAAAGTGACTGGCCCAAGGTCACCCACCTGGCTTTGTCCCTAGGTGGGACTAGAACTCACGGTCTTCCAGTTTCTAGCCTAATGCCTTAACTACACCAAACCGGCTCGGAAAAACAGTCAATATGTCCAGCTAAATGTTACATTAAACTCTGTATCTCTGGAACAGGTGAACTGCCATGTGATAAAACAGATGCCTATTGTTGCTTCTTGTTTCTCACAATTGCAGTAATTGCCTGCATGTGGTGGAACCTATGCCAGTACCAGGACATGATGTTGAGGCATATTGCCTACTGTGTGAGTGCAAGTATGAAGAACGAAGCACTAGCACCATCAAGGTAAAATATCGGACTATCTCTTACACCAGCTTTCTCTGTCTTCTGTCTTCACAGAATTTTGGCTGTTGCCAACTGTCAAGGCAACTGAAAAGAGCTTCTGAAAATATACTCACAACGGAAGTAGCGTTATGAGACTGAGGGAAAAGCGTCTAAGTTGGTAGTTAGGCCTAGTTGGTAGTTCTCACAGAGGTCTTATCCTGTAGTTAAAACTTTGGCTACAGAACACATAAAGCAATCACAGATGTTGCATAAGCGTCAGATTCTCTACAGAGGCAAGTACAGGCACTGGTAGACTCATCTTAAGTTCTTGTCTTTGGCTGCCTTTGAGAATCATATCCTAGATTTCTCATTAACAGATCAAGGAAATAATTGAAGTCATTATTTTAGTTATATTTGCTTTTGGACTGCTTAACTCTGCTGTGAAAGCTGTCATTTTATTCAGCCTTTTCTAATCTGGTGCCTTGGACAACCCAGTATTCTGAGTCTGCATATTCTTCCAGCAGATTGAAAAGGCATCAGATTGGGGAAAGCCAGCCTGGTACCTTTGTCCATACTTTGATCTTATCCTTTCCAGCAATGCTGATTTTTTAGCTGATTTCCCTTTGTGCAATACAGATGTTGAAGCCTTGCTTAAAAATGTTCTTTTATCCAGGATCTTTGATGACATTTTGCTGCTCTGTTCATGCAGATCATCATCATCATTTACCTCTCAGTGATTGGAGCTCTTTTACTCTACATGGTCTTTTTAATGGTAGTTGACCCATTCATCCGTAAACCTGATGCCTATACCCAGCCCCTGCGCAATGAAGAAGAGTCAGAGGTGAGCATGATGCTCTTTAAACAGGTTTTCTTTCATTCAGATTACCTGAATCTGATGCCTTCCATATGTTGGACTATGGTTCCCACAGTCTCTCACTTAGTAGACTGTGGGAATTAAAAGTTAATGCATTTGGAAAGCCTCACATTGTGGAAGGTTGCTCTTGGAAGTGATCACGCTGTTAAGTCTATGTGTTCAGTAGAGGGGTTGGTAGGTAGAAATCTCCATATCTATTCACATAAAGTTTTCTGTATCCATTGTGACAGAAGCCCTCCCATCCACAGAGGACACCTTGTTCAGTGTGCAGCCCTTTCTCTCTATTTACGTCTCCTACCCAATGCACGCACAACTTTCTAGACAGCATAATGCCTGATGAGATTTTAAGATATGCCTCAAAATCTGTTTCTAAGATCAGCACTCAGAACTAACATTTCAAAGCTGGAATAGTGCAAATGGGTTCGGACTGCAGTTTTCAGAATTTTGGAGGTCACTGGGGTAAAGAAGGCTGCTTTAAACAATTAGTGACATAAACGAATCTAGGATTTCATTCTAGATTGTGGATTACATCATTGAAGCTCGGGCACATTAAACATGAGCACATTTTGCTTTGAAGAAAATATTTTCTTAAAATCCTAGAAGGTTGTGCATTAACTGTGTTTTCTCAGACAACACAAATCACACTAAGCCATAATGCAAACCCAAAAGGATTTTATTTAGTATGTCATTCATTCATTCAGATTATATCACTGAAGTCTAGTGACATCCTGTAGTGCTGAAAGCAGTGCCTGAAATAAGGCTGGTTCTTTCAGAGCAGGAGATTCTTCTGAACTACAGCTTATTATGATCAAGGGTGAGGGGAAGCTGGGAATTGTACTTCAGGAATATCTCCTACTTCTGCTTTAAATAATATTGCAACAATGGAATATAAGGTGCTTGTATAGCTTATGGGAAATTTATATTGTCAGGGGAAAAAAAGTTACCAGGACATTTCACCATAATTCTTTTGGATGTGTTTTCATAGAATATAACTAACCATTCTTAAGGGTCTGAAGAATTCCGCAGTACCTTGAGATGTTTCCTGTTGTTAATGATCAGTAATTTCATATTGGTATTCATGGTGTGTATGCACATATACCCTGTACATTCTGCTTTAAGAATTCTTTCATGTATCTCTGTAGCCCGCGGTGGACCATTACTACTGCACATCTGAAATGCTTTTTCTTTTAGATGTTTCTTATTCTGTTACTGCAGGATCCCCGCTCCTTGACAGCTGTACGTCCTTCGGCCAGTGCCAGAGCAAATACGGTGCTGGAGAGAGTGGAAGGAGCCCAGGAAAGGTGGAAGCGTCAGGTGCAGGAGCAGCGGAAGACTGTGTTTGACCGGCACAAGATGCTAAGCTAGAGCTTTTGTTCTAGGCATGAGCTGCAGCTGCTGGTTAGCTAGGCAAAGCTCTGTTAGTCAATACAGACCCCAAGCCTGTAGTTTAAATATCTTGCACCTGCTGTTTCTGACTGGTTTTGCTTGTTGTCCTCCTCCCCCAGTCTGCCCAAGAGAATAAGCTGCATCTGAAGCCAGCTACTGGCTACACATCCCATTGATGAGGATTGCCACTTGCTTTATTTGTTGCTGTCAGGAAAAAAAGTGACTCCAATATAGCTATTTGACTTTAAAAGTTAGAAACAATTGCATCTTACTTTGGGTTCTATAATCTGCCAAGCATCAGTCTGGTTTAGTGATGAAAAATGTGGCATGCTTTTATTTGTTATCGCTTACAAATCTGTGGTTTGGCGTTTAGCTAGAACTGGATGTATTATTAATGAAATGGGAATAGCAACATCCTTTTCATTCCATTGACTGTATGCCAATATTTGATCCTTCACTGTTGCAAAATACTTACAGAGAAGTGGCTTGGATCTATCTACAAAAGATTGGTTTGAAAAGTTGGCACCAAACACAGAAATATAATAAGGGAAATTGGTTTAGCATGAGGGAGCTACTGTACTTGGCTCATAAATTCTTACAGATTCTTCCTTCCAAGGATTTTTTTCAGGATAGTTAACTTTGCACCAAAGAAATATGGAGAGATTATTTAGCACTGCATAGTTAATGCTAAGCCATGGTTAACATATCACAAGAATGACTGGATGAGCTCTGTGCTTCCCTCTCTCCTAAAGAGACCAAACCAAGAGGTTTGTGGATGCTCTTTCACATGCAGATTTTAAAACAGGCAAGTGGTTACACAGAATACAGATTCTTGCATTTTTTGCTTTGGACACAGCGTAATTGCTGGCTAGGTTAGATCTCAGTTTTCACAGTACCTTGAACATGTGGAGCCATTGCTGTTTACACAGTTTCATATGCAAATGAAGAATGCTTTGCACATGTTAACTATTTAAAGTCCTTTCCTTCAAGATTTATTTATCTGCACAGGAAAGAAATTTAGTGGATTATTTTGTGCAAAGAAAATTGTCCTTCTGCATGTGGCAGTCTATTTCAATATGCAGAACTGGATTCCACTATCAAAGGACATTTAGAGAAGTATAGTCTTAGATTTTAATATCGTTTCAAAGAGTGCCAGTTCATATCTAAGTATTTTTACACAAATGATATTGAAATCTGTTGTAGTTATTTTGTTGTAAAAACTAATGCAAAATCTATAGAGGCAGTACCTTTATTAGGCTGGGAGAAGTTTTACAGAGTAGATGTAGACTTTCAAGTGCCTGATGAAGACTTCTTGGAAACTCAAAAACATGCAACTTTTAAAATAAAATTTAAGTTGGCTTAATAGAAAATTTCCTGCATGAATTTTGGATTTTTTTGACTCTGCCAACATGGCTACAGTTACTTACTTATTGCAATTTTACAATGCATCTGACAACAGCTTGTCCAGATGTATGGGACATCACATTGAAATTTGTTTTTATGGTACTATGGCAGCTAGGTCTATGCCACCTATTAAGGGAAAGTAGTATTAACAGTATGTAACTGTGAAATGTAATGTTACAATGGTCTCTCAGATGCAAAAGATACTACCAAGAGATCTTGAAGGATGGACAGTATTTTTTCTGCATGAGAAAATATTTATGTATTAAACAATCTAATTTATTTATCTCTCTTAAAGTATCTCTGGCAGATTGGATCAATCTTTGTTACTATGCAGCATCTTTTCATTAAACAAAGAAAGTGTGTGTAACATTGATGTCAGGCATGATTGAATACTTTTTGTTCAGAAAGAGGTATCATGCAAGGGTTCAGAGAATGTGTAGAAATGGAAAGAAAAGAGTCTAAATTCATCCTAAAATATATGCTAGGGGTACCATATCTGGGCTGCAAAAATCCAAATGACTACTAAATGCAGGAAGGAATTAAGAGTTTTTTATATCTCTTTGTTCCCCTCTATAATTATCCATATTTTATAGCCCAGTTATGTCTAAAATACAGTATGCACACTTCTCACTAGCTGGTTACTAAGCACGGATCTGCAAAAAATATATTATCCATTGTTTACATGGAAGTATGTAGTGAAGTATTTTACTTTATTTACTGAAAACATTTACAAGCCATTTTTTAATTCAAATATTCAACATGATGTACAAAAGAAGAAATCAGTAACAGAAAAAAGTTAGACTAAATAACAGATCTTCTAATATGTCAGAAATTAAATTGGATAAAACAAGATCACTAAAATAAATCATGATACCAACAATATTATTCATACAGTACTCCTAATAACTCCAAATACTTCTAATACATTTTGTAAACTACTGGGTTTTGACTTGCCTCTTAAATGGTAGAAGTATAGGAAGCCATCAAAACATACTACTGGTGTATTTAGCTTAGTACTGTCCATGCTACTATGAAACTAATGCAATACTAACAATGGCCATGTTAGTATGAGATGATCAAAGGTGCCATCTCAAAGAAAGCAGATGGAAGACTGTTTTACAACTGTGATTTGTGGTGACTTGTCAGCATTTCAGGCAGGAATTTCTCCAGTCTTATGTAGAAATTTGGGGGACTGAACCTGAGATCACTTTTGTGGACAAAGAATGTGTTCTAGAACTGGGTTACACCCCACTTCTAAAGGAAAGAAATTAATGTCTTATAGTATGTTGGGAAAAGGTTTTCCACAAAAGACCTGCTGCTTGCCCCTCCTCCCCTCTCCTCCCCCCACAAAGTCATCTGGTAGGATATTCAAAGAAATGGCAGGTTTGGGATTTGGTCCTTACTAACAGGAAGTTTAGTTAAGGTATTAAAGTGGTTGGAACTTTAATGTGGTCACACATTGTTAGACTTCTAGATTTTAACTAAGAGCTTGGTTGAAAACAAAATGACTAAAACCATGAATTTTAGAGAGGCTGATTTTAATAAATTAAGAAAAATAGGGAGATGCTATGGGAAGAAAACCTGTAAGGCAAAGATATTATAGTCAGCTGGGACTTCTTGAAAAGAAAATTAAGGATAGTACAGTCTCAAACAATGTCAATGAAAATACTTAGGAGACGTCTAAAAGAACCAATGTAGTTGAATAGGCAGCTCATGAAGAAGCTAAGACTAAAGAAGGATGTTTACTGGAAGGAAGGACTTGCAACCAAAGTAACCTATAAAACATCTCACAAATGTATGATTGAGGTTAGGAAGGCAAAGGCAGAAAATGAGCTAAAGCTGGCAAGAGAGGTAAAATCCAGCAAGCAGGGTTTCTTCAAATGGGTCAATAGGAAAAAGACAGTGGAGGTTTACTGCTTTCTTCAGATGGACAAACCGATGACCAAGGAAAAGCAAAGGAACAGAACTCTCTTTACAACCAAGGTGATTTGAGTAGGTCAGTAAGGATATAGTAAAGGAACTTCTACTGTAGCTAATTTGAATGCCTTCCAACCACCCAGCCCTGATGAAATACACTGTAGAATACTGACAGAACTGAGTGAGGAGCTTTCAGGATATCTCTAAATTATCTCTGGAGTCCTGAATCACTGGGGAGGTGGCAGAAATCTGGAGAAAAGACTTGGATCTCTTTTATCTTTTATTAAAAACTTTAAAAAACATAGAGTATTGAGTTGAGCCAACCAGGTTTCAGTCTTACAGTAGGCAATATGGAAGGAAAGGTTGAAAATTTGAGTGTTCAAGCTTTCTGAATAAAGATTCCTTGCTAATAAATAACACCTTCCCCCTAAAAAAAAATCCAATAAAAAGCATTAGGTGTTAGATTTAGATGTCTGACATAGGCATTTGCTCAAAACTTCACTGCCCTTCCCCCTGCCCCCAAACTCTTATCACAAAGGAAATCGAATGACAGGATCAAAGTGCTCTATATGAATACTATCTACCTACAGATTCTATTCTATTTCTTTTGGCAGTTGCATTATTTTGATCTCACTCACTTGCTCCCTCATGTGGTTTCTGCTCAGGTCTGCAAAACAATTGTTTCCTGTAATAACATGACCATTTTCTTAGTCAAATTTAATTGCCAAATAATCAAAGTGATGCAATTTACTACCATTCCTTAACAGATTATATCTTAAAATGTGAATCCTGCAAGATGTTCCTGCTCTGTTTATTCTAATATAAAATCTGAATAGCCTGTTCTGATAAAACTTATATTCTCTCTCTCCCCCCCCTCTAGAATTTCCACTAGCATATGGTTAGAATTAAGGATTTGAAGGTGGGAGGTTGGAAACATCTAATAAATTTAGATGAAATACCTGTGTTTTCATTATATCTTCCCCATTTCACAGTGAGCCATGATTATGTTATAGGATAGCAAAAGAAATAGCTAGGCATCTTGAGATCAAGGCAATGAAACCCTGAGAATAGTAATATTCTAACCTGCTCAACCTTGTGTCTCTTGGCATATATCTTTTCTTTTTGGCAAATATTAAGCTTTCTACCTTAATATTTCACATAAGATCAATAATGGAGTTCTTCAGCTCCTAAATTATAGAGCTACCTTCAGTTCTCCCTGGCCTGCAATCAGGAAGAAGAAAACATACATACAAAAATATACATACAGAAAGCGAAAGAATTACTGGAGGACAAAGAAACCTACATCCCAGTAAATATCAACCCAATACAGAAACTACACAACCTGATCAACAACCTGACTAAGAAAGGTCAAATCACAAAAGAAGTACAGTGGTGGATGAAAAGCAGTGGACCGATCCTCCCACATTTCTATGGACGACCAAAAATATACAAGCCTGACATACCGCTGTTAGGCAGAGTGTAGATATAACCACCAGCGTTAGAGAGATGTAAAGAG